AATTTGTCGTTTCATCTAGTTATCTAGTTATATCTTTAATAACATTAGTCATCTAAACAGTGTTATAACATTAGTCACCCAAGTGTTGTAGGAACAGACGAATATGTTTCAAATTATTGGTGCTAAAAGCAGACAGTCCATATATCATCCCAATATTTGTCCCGAATGTTTCTTTCGCTCAATGCCAAGAGAAGTGATGATTACATGCCCTATCATTCAATTAGAAGCTATTACAACTCCGCCTGCAAGAAATCTAAATATTGAGTTAGAAGCTATTGCTGAATTAGAGTAACAACAATAGTTTCTTATAAAAAGAAATAATCCTGTTATGAAAAGTGTACAATTAAAATTTTAAAATGCTAATAATAATTTTTTATTATTAAAAAAAAAAAAGAAGGAAATCAAAGATTTTTCTTCAAAGTAGGACTTCCCTAACTTTCCATGAGCTTTCGCTTCAACGTGTTTTATTAGTTGAACGATTCAAGAAGTCCAAGTGAAGTGCACTCTACCATTGACCCGCAAGAGGTGCTACCATCACTATCCCATCCAAGTTTCCCATCAAAATGACCCCTTACAATATGCATGTCAACAAAAAATAAATAAAAAATAAATCAGTCAACCCATTCTTCCTTTTATTCAAATAAATAACTTAATTTCTAGTAGACTCGAATTTGATGGCTAGTTCAAGGCAAATAATAGAACCACTTGCCTAAGCGTATGTGGCACGGTCATCACAATTTGTTTTTATTTTAATTTTTTTTTATATTTTTTAATAACTGGTCATTATCACGTGACATTCATATTTAATAATACATTACACATAACAATGCAGTTTTGGATAAGAAATGTCACGTGATGGTGAACAAGGACGGAGCCTTTACCGAATGTGCTAGCTTAAAGATTTAAATTTTTATAAATAAAGAAACATACAAAAAGAATTTCACATTATTAGCTAACCTAAGAAAATTTTCACATGGTGAGCCAAAAATTTTCATTATTAAACAAATACATGTAAAATTGGAATCTAATTTTGTTCTCATTGGCCATGTAGTTCTTCAAGGTGTGAGTGAGAACCATCCTCTTGGTGAATTGGAGACTTGCCGTGAGCTGTTAAACAAAGATTCGAATTGTGAACTTGGTCATATTTATGATGAGATGCATTTTGTGGTTGAGGAATTAGCTAACTTGAATTCTCTTGGTCCAGTTTATTTCGCTCAAACTCCTACCTCTTGTCATCTCTTGGTGTCAGATGTTGTTAAAATCTCTATACCTTGTGATGTTTTGCTTTAGTTTCTCTTTGTTAGGTGTTAGCCCCATTTGTTTACCAAAAAAAAATACGTATTAAAATTTAAACGACGGCAAACTTGAAACAAATATGTCCGAGAAGCGATTAGAAAAAGAGTGTAAGAAAAAGAGATGGCTTATGAATTGTAAATGGGAATTGTTATTAGCACTCAAAAATCACATTCTAAACTCCTCACATATGTATTGTCTTTCTAATTATAGAAAGTTTAGAGTTCAAAATAAGATTTTTAAAGTGCTAATAAGAATTACCTTGTAAGATATAATCTTATATAATTAAACTAAGATAATTAGACTTAGTGGCTAAGTATATAGTACACTACATTAAAAAATTAATGAAAAATATATGTAAAATTTTCTTTTTTCACCAATAGTTAGTTTGTATATTGCATTAATTTGAATATTGGTACAAATGGTAGTAAAGGGATCCTCCTCCCAGGGCGGGCCCTGAGGTAGCCCAAGTAGGCACCCGCCTAGGGCCCCCACTTCGGAAGGGCCCCAATAAAAATTTTATATCCTGTAATTAACATATAAATACAAAAAAAAAATATCATAATTTATTTGTTAGTGCAATGGAAATGTTGGCTTCATTTTTCTTTGGGGTCTGAATGACGCACATTCAGACAGACTAAATGGAATTCAAATTTATCCATCAGTGTCTAAAAAAACATGTCACGAAGAATACCAATAATCTAAGCAAAGCGATTCACACAAAAGTTATGTACAATATCATTATTCATGATTACTAAACAAAGGAAATGTTTTTCAATATCAGTCCTCACTCTGCAAAAGAGATACGAGACAGTATATAGAGTTAAATGAACCCGATTGTGGTTGCGATAGTTTGGTTGTAGAGTTCATACCGCATGTAGAAATATGACTCCTTAAATTAATCGGTTGTTTACAACATATAGGGATAAACGTAACCTGCCTTTCCGTTGCTGTTTTTTGTTTGCTTGTCTCGTATTTTATTTTACTTTTTTTTTAGTGGTGTGACGAAATGTATATCAAAACAAGAAGAAATCAAACTATTCTATTTCCGTAAAAATACCCAAATATCAATGAAGTCATTTACAACAGAAGACTCATATATAACCAAAACATTGCTTTTATACTAAAGGATATTTGTGTCAATTGAAATGACTTTTTGACTACATATGATATTTTTTTATAAAAAAAGATATTTTTAAAATTACAAGTCGATTTTTTGCTATATTTGATAAATACTTGTGTACATGTACCTTGAACGTTTTTCTCATATGTTAGGAGTCACCGGATATGCGGAATCAATTAGGAAACGTTTAATAGGAAGATATATAGAGGTCCCATAATTAAATCTGAAGTATTCAGCAGCTCATGTGCAAGAAAAGTTTGGGTTTTCCGTATGCAGGAGGTGGAATTTGCCCATGTGTCACGTCATTGCAACGGAGTAGCCTTAACATCCTAAACGATATCAGAAGGGTGCTCGTTGAAAAAATGTACTTTGAGACGAGGACCCTCCAAATATCGTTCAGGATGTTTTCCTACAAGATCTTGAGTACATTCCTTCTAAGTTCCTATTAAAATATCATTTCCACTTAATAAAAAAATAAAAACTTCTTAAATGAACTAATGAAGGTACTCAATAGGAAAAAATTGAAGCAATAGTCCCCAAACTAAGAACTCGTGAGTATTGATTCCTGAACTTATTATAATGTGAAACGATGATCATTTTGGCTAACTCCGTTAGAACTAACATAGTTAGCAAAACGAATCATTGCTTCACATTACCTCACGGATTGTTAGTTTAGGAACTAAAGCTCTGATTAAGCTAGAATTCAGGTACCATTGCTTCGGGAACAAAATTATCCTAAAAATTGAAAACTTTATGCAGAAACCACAATAAAAATTTGATTAGGAGTTCAATACCAAGACAAACAATTCATCTATAAAGTTTAAGAGAAGTGATTTTCACATACAATTTTTCTTCCGTTACACAACTATGTTTATTTCTAGCCGTAGAATCAATGGACATAAATAAACCGGCTGCGCAGAAGGATACGAGGGTGTGAAAATTGTTTCCCAATTTTAATCATTTCACAAAAACCGACACCCACTATCAACACAAAACCCCAAACACAGGACATGTATATCACTCAATGTATTAAAAGCGTGAGGCGTGAGGCGAAGCCTCATGGAACCTAAAATTTAAATATATATTATATGCAAATATATTTATAACAATATAATACTTTGTAAAAACAAATATAACTATAACTAAATCAAAGATAATATCATCTTCTTTATTACTAAATCTAGTTGTACTTGGAAACTATGTCATATAGTCTCAAAATGTTATAATTATTTATTTTATTGTAAGCAATTACAGAGAACTTCAAGAAAAATAAGGATGCGTGGTCACAATTATAGGAAAATTTCAAGCAAAATAAAGGCTTAATGTTGCAATTATAAGTAATTTAAAAGGAAATAAAGGCTGAGTGAAGTAGTTATAGGGTATTTAAAATGATATAAAGCAATAGTTATGGGAATTTGAGGAAAATAAAGGGTTGAGTAGAGTATTTATAGGGTATTTAAAATGAAATAAATGGGCTAGAGTATTTATAAGGTATTTAAAATGAAATAAATGACGAAAATAAAGAGTTGAGTGGAGTATTTATAGGGTATTTAAAGACAAAAATTAAAAAACAAACTCAGCCTAAAAAAACCCTAGCCACTGTCTTCATCTCCATCTCCATCTCCTTTGCTAGTTTCTTGGTCTGCAACTCAAAAACAGCCCTACAACTAAAAGAAATTCAGATTTCTGCAACCTAAAAAAGAAAAAGGGGCGCCCAGTTGACGCCTCAGGTGCCTAGACGTGCCCCGACAAGCCTAAGCGAGTATTTCGCCCACTCCCACAAAACAGAGGCGAAAATGGTGAAGCCCCGCCTCCAAGGGCGCCTAGGCGCGCCCCAAGGCGAGTTTTTTAAAACATTGATATCACTATACCTAATTCAACCATAGCACCAGTAACACATAAAATTCACAAGGATCAACTACGTTTAGTCAAAACTATCCAAAACTTAGCAGGCTTAAAACGTTTTATTACATACGAAACAATTAGGCAATTCGTCAATATTCATTCCAGCAGAAAATAAGCAAATCAACCAAAAGCAAACAAACAAATCACTAAGAAACAGTATGCGATGCAAGCTGAATTTTGAATGAGATCCTATTTCCGTTACCCGCAGCATAACATATGTAAGTTTCATCATAAATGTGGAACTTTATGAACCAAAGTACGCCACGAACACGATATGAGCAGAAAATGACACTCTCAACAGACTCAATGGAACTGAGTAAAAACAATCACATAAAAGACAGGAAGATCATAGAAAATCCAAGTTATCCCATTAATGTTTAAGAAAAGATGCCATGAAGAACACCGATACTCAACGCAGAGCGATTCTCATAGAAGTTATATACACTGTTATTATTCATGATTACTTCCAAAGGAAAAACTTTTCAAGTACTGCCAAAGTGCCCATCACCATTTCAGCTTTTAATGTGTCCCATCAGCCTTCTGCAAAAGAGAATCGACCGTGTATGCGGAATTGAAATAATGAATGAAATCCAGTCATACTATAGGAAGAATGTCTTAGAAGTAATAACTGATTAAAATTAGAATATACCAGTCAAAACTCATCACTAGCACAAGTATCTGCTTGAAGTAACATTTTATGAATTAGAAGATACTCTTCAGTTGAAATGGGGAAGTAGAAACTTCAATTACATTACACAGACTTTAACATTAGGTGATACACAATCAATCCAATAGATACGCTATCATCTTCACAAATTGTAAAGGGAGTCAAGGACAAGAAAACATAACAGACTCGTTCCAAGACTTCATCACTGCAGATTCAATGCAAGAATTGAAACAAAAGCTTCCCTGAAAACAAGAACTGGAGAACAAGACATCATCAAGGCAGATTTTAAAATGCTCCATATTCATGAAAAATTTAAAGAAGATGCATGAGTAAAAAAAGTATTATATGAACTCATACATAACAGTTTATCTCATATCCAGACATGTATCAGAGAAACCTCATTATAGCATGGCCCATACATAAAAGTAACCGTAAATGATATTACATGCATACATCTCTATTTTAAAAAACAAATGCATTCTACTCTAGCATTTGTGGTTAAAATTTCGTGATAGATGCAACAACAAAATATTCTACCACATCAAGTGAAAAGGACATGTGGTGTAATTTGTTAGTATTCAAGCAGAATCGATAGGCCATCAAACAGGCCACATAGGTTTATGCAAAGGACTGCCTCCCAAGGATACTCTACACTTTGTAATAAAACAAATGATCTAGTTTTCAAAAAAATGCAGACTTTTCACTATAAACCTATGTTCCGTAACTTTTTACCCTTGAGGTCATCTGTAAGACTAACATAGAACCCAAGAGCCAGCAATTCTCTCTCATTCATCTAGAATAAGCAACCAATTTGAAGTTATCGAAAGCGCTTGTTGAAGGAGCTGCAATCTATCTTTCTTTTTATTATTCTTTTTTAAGTGATTGAACCCATTCATAAATAAGCAACTAGATGCAGAGAAAAATGTAGCTTTCCCGAATGGATGCCATGTACTTCAATAATGACATTTTAAGATCAGATTGCAGGAAACCTCAATGATAAGTATAGACGTTCTCACTGGTAAGCCTAAGTCTCAAAGTTGGTTAAGAAAAACAGATTGACAAAACTGTGATGTAGGTCATGGTCATCCGTGCCAATGGGCCAAGGAGACCAAAAATAAGACAACCTTGAAAAGCTTGATAAGCTAGTCAGTCTATTCTAGACAACCAGGTGATACTATTCAATTAAACCTCAAGCCGGCATAAATTAATACCAGTCCTCCAATCCCAACCTCATCATTTTGATCACTCAGACGGAACTCTCTTATTATGCATTTACTCAATACCGTGTCCTTTCCTCCAGTAATGTCCGAGCACATTATATTATAACACTAACTCGAGTGATCAAACATCGCGATGCTACGCCTCACTTTCTGAAATTGAACACTTTCCAAATGTCATTTTTATATGTGTGTGCGTTCTTGCTTACTAAAATGCACAATTCACTACGACATACAGCAAGAAACCACACATTTCTTGTAATTACGCAACAACAGTTTTCAAATATCTCGTAATTACGCAGACACCGCAAGAAATCACAGATCTCTGTAAATTTGTGCCAGTCTCATTCAGTGCAAAATCCACATATCCTCAATAAAGAATTAATCCGTACCTTATCAGCATTTTCTTTCGCTTTCTCGGCCTTTACCTTCTCAGCCTTCTGCTTCTCCAATCTCTCCCTCTCCTTTCTCTTCACCCAAAAAAAAAAAAAACAAAGCCAGAACAAGTTGATTCGATCACAGTAATTCAAAATATCATTTCTGATCGGACAAAACATAATAATAACATAAACACAGATTCAAATCTGATTGCAAAATTAGTATTATAAAACAAAGTTTTGAAAAAAAATAAAAAAAATTAGAAGAGAGGAGAGAGAGCTTGGGGTTGCGTACCTGGATGTAGACATTCTCGGCGAAGCGCTCCTCCTCGCTGAGGATTTTGCCTTTGCCTGCGCTCAAGTAGCGAGTGGCTCCCCGAGACGACTCCTTGGAGCGAGTGATCAACGCTCGAGTTAGCACCGCCAGGCTCCCACCGGATCTCATTGCCGCCATCGCATTTTGCTTTCTAGTTTGTTCGTTTGTTTGTTTCTACTGCTAATAGAAAATTAGTAACAGAGCAACTTATTAGGTTTAAGATCTATTTTAATTTCTTACAATATTTTTAAAATATTTCACTTTCATACCTTAAGTACTATTTTATTTCAAAATAATACCTCCGTTACATTTTTTATTCATTGATCCGTTAAAAACTGACGTGGTTGTTACATATATGTCACGTGGCTGCCAAATCCCTGTCACGTGGCAAAAAAATATTTTTTTAAATTTCCTTTTAAAAAACATGAATTTTTTTTTAAAAAAAAATAATAATAATATTTGAAACCCATCCCTAAACCTGCACCTCCTGCAAGAAGAAGAAGAGGGAGAAGAAGAAGGAAAAAAAAAAAAAAAGTTGAAACCCATCCCATCCCATCCCATCTCCCCGCAACCACCCCCACATCCCTAAACCTGCAACAACAACAATAACAACAACAAGAAGGAGAGAAAGAGAAAAAAAAAGGCCAAACCCAATTCCCACCCCCAACCCCAAAAACCTACAAAGAAGAAGAAGAAGAGGAAAATAAAAATAAAAATAAAACCCAAAAATCGTCTTCCCTGACCCACCCCCTTCTCCCATCCATCATCACCCATCCCAAAATCCCACCCGGGCCACCCCTTTCTTCCATCCCCCATCACCCACCCCTAAAAATCCAACCCGAGATTAGTTGGATCTACCACAAAATCAGTCCAACAATCATCTCAAATTCAAACTCCCCATCTCAAAGTATTTTCGAAACTTACCTGCATTGAAAACCTCAAAAATATGGAGGTCCCGGGGGGGGGGGTCATGGTTTGTGTGGGTTGGGTCTTGCAGCCACGTGGCATATATGTGGCAGCTATGTCAGCACTTAACGAATTAATGGATGGAAAATGTAACGGATGTATTATTTTGAAATAAAATAGTATGTAAGGTATGAAAGTAAAATGTTTTGAAGATGTTGTAAGAAATTGAAATAGACCCCAAACCTGAGGTATGAAAGTGTAATTTACCCTATATAGTTTGTTCGTTTGTATTTTTCTAGTTTGTTCGTTTGTTTGTTTGTACCGCTATATCAAATTCAAAACTTCTCATTTACGAGTTAAAAAAAAAAAAATCAAAGATTAGTTGTTTAATAAAATGTTGGAGCTGCTACTCCCAAGTCTCAACCAATAACATTTGACAAGTGTTAAAAAAAAATTGAAAAATTAAAACTCAAAAAGACAACTTAAATATTTGTCAAGTTGTTATTGAGTAAGAGCAGGAACTCCTGCATTTTTTTTAAGCAATCAAGCTTTGTAGAAAGAAAAATACCACTCAAACTGTATTACGGCATGAAATAATCAATTGATCTCAAATACAATCAAACCCTCCATAAATTAAAAGGAAAACTAATGAAAATGACTTGAAAACTTTGAGTTTTAATGATAAGGACAAAATAAATGGTAAAGTGAATAGTACCAAGATTGACTTTTTAGTGTAAAAATGTGGTTTTTCGTTAAAGTGAACAGTATCATAGGCTTTTCGTTAAAACTCTCTAAATTAAATGGTGTTTAGAACAAGAAAAATCTATTAATTTAGTGCATATTAAATAATCAATTAATTAATAGTTTTTTTCTCTCTGTCAATAATCGATAGCTTATTAATTTATTAATGTATTCTTTATTGGAAAGGGATCCTCTCCGGATCCCTTCCAACAAGTCCACCATGGCCACAAATCCGAGCTTTTAAAATTTGATCAAACGGCTACAAACAGGAGCCCACTTTAAAATTTATAACATTTTTAGCCGTTGGATCAAATTACCAAAAGAAAAAGCTTGTCTCACTAGTGTAAAATGGCAGGTTTGTGACAATATTAACCCTAACTATACCTCACAATTTTTATTTGATTACACTAGCATCCCTTGATGCTTTCTCTATGAGTAATGTTAGGGAGACTAAATTTGTAAACTAAATGATATGTCACGAATAGGAATGAGCACATTTATTAACTCTTAAGTAATAAATCAATCATCAACTTCTATGTCATTTAGTTTCTAAAATTTTATCTACAAATTTACTCTCCTTACCATTACCTTTTCCATGTTCACACAAATCCCTTGTGGTTTATAATAATACCCCTTGAAGTTTCATATTGTTTCCATGAAGCCCATTCCGTGAAAATTTCATCCAAAAATGGATTATATCATTAAAAAATTCTCCACAAATTTCTTATAGTTAATCACATAGATTTCACATAACCGCTCACATTCATTGTTTTTTCCACAAAACATTCATTGTTTTTTCTACAAAACTCCCTGAGCTTTTGTAAATAAGAACTCCTAAAGGTTTAAGATGCTTTCATATATAAATCATTAATTATAATATAGCGTGACATAAGTTGTTCAAGAGCAAAAAGAAAATCTTTTAAAGTGAAAAAAAAAAAAATTTAGCTATTGCTATTGATGCTAGAAAATGGTTAGTCATCAAAGAACTTGTGTGGACACAAGTAGTTGAAGCGGGTCAGATGAACCATATCTTAAGAGATAGATTGGTTCACCTGTAATCAAGCTACATCCACTGTGGTGTATTGGTATTTATGTGTGTATTACAATAGTTTTAGTCCTTACATATGTAAGGCAACCCATTTCTCAAAGAAGGTCATCTTTGTGGCCTCATAGCAAAGGTGATGTGGCCTCTCCCAATCCAAATATATATATATATATATATATATCTTAGTTCCCGAGTCAAAATAAGAGTGTAAATAGTGTCGTTTGTTCAAAAAAAAAAAAAAAAATACAGGCATTCATCCAACAACAGGATTGAAAACATGCCTGCCCTTATTTGTTGTTTATATGACATTTGTAGATCCAGTTGTCTTGGGTATGACTTCCATGCAAGCAAAGATAATCCAACTAAGTACTTCTTCACACACATAAATTAATTTCACAGTTCGATTGAATTCGTAACTTCAAGTTTAGTAGCTGTCAGACCAAAGTTCACCTTAGAAAACGCGATCACTTCATGTTTCATACTTAATATTCGATTTATGGTCCAAGTCCGACATGGAAAATGCTAATAAAGTGGAAAGCTCGTGCAAATTTGCAACCAAGTCCAAAGTCCACAATCTCTACTTTTAATTGAGTCCAAATTCTTCAGCCCAATTCACATACAACCCAAAACCCAACCCACAAAAATTGAAAAATATTGTGGGGAAATAGGAAAGGCCCTTTCTTAGTTTCCCAATTTTCCTGGAAAATTTGGATGTGCGGGAAAACTTGTTTAGGGCTGCTCTCACACGCAGACCCATCTCAATTTCTCTTATCATTCACCCCTCAAAAACCCAAATCCCAAAATTGCCCAAAAGATTTGTGGTATTTGCGAACAACGGCAACGGTTGGAGCAGGTTTCGAATTCCAAGGAGAGGGTAGAAGAGAAAGGAAAAGATGAATCAACTGGATTCGACGGTGGTGGCAATGTCGATGATTTGGGGAAGAATCAACGGCCTTTATTCGGCAACACCAGATAGGGGTGATCTCCTACTGGACCCAGATCCTAACAACGTCTTGGCTGTCAGATTGACTAGGCTACGAGTGTGCAGGTGCTGTCCATCGCATTGGCTATACTTGTTGCTGCTGGTAAGTATTCCTTTCATTGCTGCTGTTCTTCTCTTCATTATCATTACCCTTCTTTGGCTCACTCTTCTTCCAATTTTACCCCCAAACTTCTGGAAAAACAAATTAGGGGTTTTTGAACTTTAATTCTTAAAAAAAGATTAAACTTTAATAAAAATCTGGTGTTAGAGTACATATACATTTTAGTCCTTTATTAGGTGCATAATTCAAATTTATATTGTATTTTTTTAATATTTAATAGATATCTTATTTAATGTCGTCACATAAATTTCAAATTTATTATTATAAATATTTTAATTTTTTAATTTTGTTTAACTTCTTCTAATTAGTGTACCTAAACATTTGTATCATAATTTATTGAGTTAGTATGGTGAAATGTCTGTACTTAAATATATTGTAATGAATTAATGACACATAAGAAAATATGTGAATTAGTGGCACATAATACATATTAGATAACTCAGATATTTCATATGTCGAGTTGCTGTGTTTTTGCTTGACTAGCATATTTGGCAGTTAAACTGTTTCTAATATCTATCTGTTGTTAAATTTGGGTTTACTTTTGATAGAATTATAAAAGTCTTGTTCTATTATTCCATACATATCAAACGATCCTGCCCGGTACCAGTTTCACTTCATCTTACAGAACAATGCCGCCTCTCAGCTGGGTTTGTACCTTTTGTGGAACTAATATACAAGCAAAAAACAATATAAAACAAAAGGAAGACATAACATTAAAAAGGAGTACAAAGAAATAATATAAAACAAGCAAAAAACAACACCAAATGCATAACCTTATAGTGGACTTACGAATTTCCTATCATCAGCTTGATGGTTTTAACAATCTCAACAAACCATTCATGCTTCTTGGTGATCACCACATCAGAAAGAAAAACTCCCACTACCAACCCACTTCCGAGACCAGCCAAAACAAATTTCCAATCAAATTCAAACGAGCTTGAATAATTTTCTTCGATTTTTGAAGTCGATAGGCCAGGAGCCTTAGGATCTCCACATTTCTTTGGCAAAGGATCTCCACACAATCCAGGGTTTCCTTCATATGAACTGCTACCGAATGAAATAAGTTGGGTTCCATGAGGTATTGGACCTGTCAAACTGTTGTCAGAGACAATGAATATTTCAAGGAATGTAACCTACGTGAGGCTTTGAGGGATTTGTCCTGAAAGCTTGTTGTGTGAAAGGTCCAGTGATTCAAGCCATCTTAAATTCCCGAAAGATGATGGGATGGGACCAGTTAGGAGGTTACCAGACATATTGAATGACACCAACCCCTCTAGGTTCCCAATAATTTCAAGAATACTCCCTTCAAATTTGTTGCTTGAGATGTCAATCGCTACAAGGGCTTCTTGAATCTTCGGATAATATCTCTCCACACCTTTGCTAGTTATCGCAATTGAGTAATACTCATAAAAGATTAGCTCAAGACTAGGAGCCTCCATAGTTCTGTCTACCTTCATATATGTTGGCTGGTTTCGAGTGACACCCCTCATGACATTCCCGGAAAAGATTTTTTGAGATAGAAACTTGCCTCTGAAACGATTAAAAGATAGATCCAGAATTCACAACTCAGGAAAATATTTAACATTGTCCTGATTAGGTTCCTCAATTGGACCGTAGAACTGATAGGAGTATATTTAGGCGACTTAACTAGCTTATTCTTGTGCATTTATGCTATTATTTCTTAGTTAATGTCGCATTACAACTCAATTTCGTGTGTTTGTAGGTCCTATGGGGTAAAGTATCAAGAAAGGGCATTTTGGTGCATTTTGGAGCGATTTTGGACACTATGTGGATAGCTTACATATGAGCCAACATGGATGGACGAATTTGGACTTCAAGAGGCTAGAAATGTGATAAGAAGAGGAAGGAATAAGCTTGGGACAAAGTGGATAAGGTAGGAGCTCAAAAGAGGAAACATTATCCAAAACCTTATCTAACCTTATCCAACACTATCCAAAACATTATCCAAACCTTATCTCATCTTATCCTATCCAAACCTTATCATGTCTTAATCCTAATTGCATGGGGACCTAAATGGATAATTCTAGAACCTATTTCTAGAAGCATCCTATTCTAGAAGGCCCAAATCTGCCACAAAACCTATTTTTTCTAGAAGCCCTAGAAAAGTGGCGCCCCAAACCTTTCTAGAAGGCCTTGCCTTGCCTTGCAAGCCAAGAAACCCTCTCCCCTAAATCTGCCGCACCTCCCTAGGCCCAATTCCTTTGGGATTCTGATTTCCAAGGCCTAATCCTTGTGGATTTGGGTATACAAATCCTTTTATAGAACTATGTGGGCCAAAACCTCCTCCTAAGTGGATTTGACAACCCATGGCCGAATTCTAGGGCCCTAATCCAATTGTAGAAATAAATAGTGTTTGGGTCTGAATTTCATTTTATTTACGGGCATGCCATTCCTTTAAAAAATGGGCTTTGTGGGTTTGGGCTCCGGATGGGGTTTTATTTGCTTGGTTGGAATTGTATTGGGCAGATGGGAATGGGGTTTGGGCACACAATCACCCGCAGAGAGGAGTCACCTGCAGATTAGAAAGAGATGAGAGCTGACAGAATAAAGAGAGAGTGAGGGCCGCCAATTTTGATTCGGGGAGAGATGGCTGTGCTTCGGGTGGTTGGGGGAGGACAGGGGGACTGACATATTGGAGAGAGATGGGTGCTAGGGCTTTCGACTCAGTGAGAGAGAGATTGATCTAGGTCCTCTGCCATAACCTATGGGGTTTCCTCTGATTTTAGAGAGAGAAAGAGAATGAGGGGGAAGGCATGGTTGTGTGCAGTTTGTGGGGTTAGCCGGTCAGGAAGGGGTGACTGAGGGAGGTATGGGTGACTTTGAGGGACCGACAGATTGGAGAGAGATGGGAGCTAGAGGTATGGATGAGTTTATTGTTTTTAATTCATTGTTTACTGTTTGATTTGCCATCTGCTTTCTTCAAATTGTCATAGATATTTTTTTTCCTTCTTTAAAGTTGTCATAGATTTTTTTAGGTGGTTTAGTTCATCGGCAGTCTATTGTTTTCCCTGGTAGAAAGGTCCAGGCTTGCTATATCCTCCGACTCACTCCACTCTGTCTCTGTCTTTGTGATTCTGGGTTCTGTTCTGCCATTTTTTCTTCTCAAAGAAACCTAATTGCAGGTTCCTTTTCCATTTCCAAGCTTTTGTTATGCTCTGTGCTGCTGTATTTTCTATTTTTAATGAGGCTCGATTGAAATATACATCAGTTTGATTGAAATATGCATCAACTTGAATGATTATGCTGCTGTGTTTTGAAGAATAGCAACTTTAATAGGTCTTAAGTCTCTAATTCATTGAACTATTGCATTTATTGTGAGGTATTTAATTTTTACATTTATTTTCATGTTGAAGATATAGATTTTCATTCTGTCGCTGGAGTTAACTTTCCTTTTAAGTGAAGTATTTAATTTTTTTTTGTTTCGTCAGCAGATCATTTGTTCGTATTTTTCATTGCAACCTTTTATGTGTATAAATATGCATGTGATTTTTTTTTTCCAGGAAAATAATTGCAGAAATGGAAGGTACTTGCCACCAAGGTGCGTTTGGGTTTCTAATGTCTATAAAATTAGATTTAATAATTGCAAGCGAATTTTCCCTAGAAACAATCAGATTATTGGATCTAAGTTGCTAATTGTTTTAATTTTGTATAGGCTGCAATAAAATCTGCACCCACAACTAGAGGAGTCAAGAACCCTAACCATTACCACCCTGGAACCGTCGCTCCTTGGTGAGTTTTCAACACAATATACTTCAAATCCTCTGAATCGTGATCTTGAATTTACTATGTTGCATTTCGTTATCTGAACTCTGTTCTTTCATTTATAAATCCGTTTGATTGAAAATTAGTCCATTCGGACCGTTTTCCACCCAAACAACCACTATATAGTTTGACGAATGCATTTAATCTTTCTGGCAACGCCAGTTATTTCTCTCTCAGCAACCTACAAGGGGATTTGATTGCATCATATTGGTTTGGTCACTCATCTCTTTGTCCTTTTTTCTATAAAATTTTGTGCGATGTGGATGTGGGTTATTCTCAATGTTTAGATGGTAATTATTTGACAACTTCTGCAAAATTTTGTGTTTGATATAATAAAGCTTTTTCAAACTCAATGTAAGCAAAAGTTTTGCAAATTAGAAGTGATAAAAATCTCTGTTTCATATAGCTACACTACTACATAGCAGTATTTGATCAAACTATAATACGTTTTTTTTTACAACGGTGATGCAGAAGGGTTAGCGTTGGAGTTGGAAATAAGTAGGACTTTGTATGGATTATTCTCTCCCTTCCCTGCATTAGAAGGTAAGTATTATTCCAAAATGTTCGGTATAAGTGAAGTTCAGATTTTTGAACCGTAGCTTTTTAATTTGACAAGTTCCAAAAATTTTCATTGAAATTGAAGCATTTTGAGGATCTCTTTTGAGTTTTATTGTTGTATTATTGTTTTATTCTCACCTATTTTTGTTTCTACCAATTTTTCTTATATATATTTGATTTAAGAATATGGATATTGAAAGTTTTGTTAATTTTTTCTCATCCCTCTTTTACAAAATTCGGTGAAATGCATTGCAGGTCATCAGTGCCATTTTGCCTCCAAAGTTTCCAAGCTAACTGAATCACGTCCCTCAGGCCCGTTTCTCCTCCTTGACTCGCTGTGAAGAAGCTCAACTTCTCAGGGTTCGGTTTTTATTGTTAGAACTTTCGTTTTTTACATATGTTTGTGATTAATGGTTTTCTTTTGAAAAAATGCTAATGGAAAAGTGAATTTGAGTTATGATTTGTGATTTTTATTCGTTGCTTACTAAGATTTTTGTCCATTTTCTCCACCTCTCTCTCACAACGGAATCACCATCACCACCCAACAAACCCAAGAGGGGGAATTTCGATTACTATTCTTGGAGGGAGGTAAAGCTGCTATCTTTCTCTACAAAGCGTTGGATTTTTTTTAAATTTGGGTTCCATATTTTTTTTCTCTATTGGTTTAGCTTATGTCAAATTTCACTACGTCTTAAGGTTCACTTATGCCTTATAATTGGTAATATTTTCAGTGTGGCTGTGTACAACATTACGTGGTGTTCATGCACAGCCGTTTTGTTATTGGTTTTGGTTATTTGTTATTATGTTTCATTCCACTTTGATATCCTTTAATAGAAAATGCTAAAATCCTAACTCATTCCCATTCAATGACATCTTAAGTTGTTGTAGAAGCAAATGATCCAATAATTACATATTTAATCAGAACTCCATGAGTGTTTTTTTCAATGATTTGTTGATTTTGTGTGATTTCGGTTGGATGGCTATCATAAAGCGAATCCTCAACTTTGTTCGTGTATATTGAGAGTAAATTAGAGAGCTAAAAGGTAGTAAAGTTAGAATATTTATGTTTAATGTTGTTTTGAGTTTGGATTCATTTTGTTTGTTTGATATTACAAATTCAGTGATAGGGAATTGGCACTTTTCTCCATTTTGAACAGCGTTTAACTCATTTCTAATTTTCTGTTTGGTTTCCAAGAGAATCAAGGGAAAAAAGGATAGAAGATTAATGAATTCACTAAATTGAGTGCTTTAAGTCCATTTTTGATTGAAGTTATTCCCTTTGCTTTCATTTCTGTTTTTTTTTCTTTTGGGTTTCCCAGCACGTTGAGGATGGTAAAATAAATTATTTTGATTTTGGAAATCTACTTTGTTTTTCATCTTTAGTTCTTGGGAGAACCGAAAATGTGATTTCTTGCATGGTGGTTGTATTTGTCTATCATTTGAAAGCAATTGAAACAGATAGAGAGAGAAAAGGGAGAGGAAAAGGATTTGGTCATCATTTAATTCTTCTACTATTTCATAGATTCAAAATGTGTTTAGTATCTCACTTAATTGGTGTACCTTTGCTCATTTAACTCAAATTTAATATGATTTGGTCCTCCAATTTCTCTAAATTGCTAACGGATTTATTTTCTTGGGAAGTTTCATGAACTCTGGTTGTGGGATGATGCTTGCAGGTGAACTATATGCATGGTTTTTTGCGATGAGTTAGGAAGATCCACCTGAAAACAGCATAGAAGATAAAGAACTGGTATGTTGCTTTGTCATAAAAAAAAATTTTGGTAGATTTGTGTATGCCCTGTTGGGAACTAATTCTGTGTGGAATTTTGTTGTATGGGCTATGGAGTAAATACATGTTGCATGACGTGACTTATTTGAGTTCATTAAAGGGTCATGGCGATGCCCATGAAAAGCTGCATATCATGCTTCTTATGAAAACTTTCCCTTCATCTTTAGATTAGCAAATAGAAGAATGAATTCAGAACAATAGGATTTTGATTGCTTTTTCTTTGCTCATTTGATTCGCTGGGTTTACAGATTTTAAAGGTTCAACATCGACCTGATGTTCATTTCTGAAATACACGAAATTTCCTTTTTATTTTTCTGGGTATAAATTATCTGTGAAACTCTGGTTTGATTTGACTTTTGAAAGAAGAAAAGAAAAGGATAACTGAGAGATTGGTTTTTGAAGAAAACCCATCTGGATATGGAATAAGATCCTTTGACTAGACCTAAGAGTCATACGCCAAGATTTTGAGTTGTTTATTGGGGCCATGAGACCCATTGGTACCTAAAATGTGTACTCCATTGACGGACACCTTTTGAAAATTTAAATTCAACCAAAGGAATTTCAACATTTGTGCTTCGGAAGTTAGCTACTTGAACATTTGACATATATTTTATCCTTTTCCATAATTCCTGTTGGATCAGTACTCCCCATCAACATGCAAGTCTTGGCACTAGAATTTTTTCCTCTTTTAAGACTGGTATTTTCCTTTTTCTTCAGGAATGACAAACGATGTTGCAAATATGATTCTTCTAGAGGAATATAAGAAGACATCATCTTAAACGTAGTGAAAGGAGCTGCAAATACAAAACATGAAGGAACGAAACCCATCAAGGAACTAGAAATAGTAAAAGGAAAAATAAATTTGATAGGAAGTTATATAATCCATGGACATGTATCAAAACAATCATATGGCAGCCATTTGAAAAGAAATAAATATCAGCTTACCTTTGGCTGCTGCACGCCTATTGAAGAAAACACCATGAGTATTTTCCTGATTATTCATCAGTAACTCCATAAAATAATCTTTCAGCACCCCTCCATGGCATAAAAGGGCAATTAAATTCCTATTGCACATACAATGCAGTAGGACTAAGATACGATCACATTATATGAACTTTAATTAGTTTTCATGACATAGTTTCAATTTCTTTGCTTTGCTTTGGAAATTTGTGCATTGATCTTCGGAGCACTTAATCAATTTAGGTTGCAGTTTAACTATTGAGGATTCTTAATGTATTTTGATTTTACCAGGATTCCATTTTTGTGATTGCCACCCTTAGTCGGTGGTATTATCTTTACAATGGATTTAAATTGCGGATTTAGAGAATCTGATAATAAAACTAAATTATATGTTCCATGCTTTTCATTTTCATTTTGGGTTTTGCTTTGTTTGGAAATTTGTGTCTTTATCTTTGGTCAAATGTAGGCAATAATGTGAAAGTTGATGTTTTGAGACTTACCCTTTGTTTGCTACTGCCTTTAATGTAGGGGTTCTGAGCCATACATTTCAATCAAGCCTTTGGTATGTCCTGAACTTCTATACGTTGTTTCCCCATGCTTTCCGTTTAAACCAGTGCGATTTTAGAATTTTTTTAGCTGAACCTTTGGTTTCTTCGTCTTATATTATATGTTTGTCCCTTGCTTTGTTTCTCATTCTTGGTTGTCTCTATCACCTTTGATTGTCCAAAGGTCCGATAGTACTTTGTTTTTTTGGGGTTTAAATAATGTCTATGCAATTCTATTATTTTTTTGAAAATTTCTTGCTCTCTGTGTTTGTAAAGCAAAATAAACTGGTTGGAGTATCTTCTAAAGGGCTCCTGCAATCTTTATAATTACTCTGTTGTTTCCGTTAGTTATGGGTATCTGACTTTCTTTTTAATTTCTATATATGTCGTTCCAATGGAATCAAGTGCCAAAATTAGAATAAACATCTTTTAGTCAAGTTGGAGACTTATCCATATAATGTTTGGTTCAGGGATCCTTATACAAACATAATCTTCTGATGTATTTCAATCAGTGTGAAAATCGTCTTAACTATACAATTGATGCGTTATAGTCTTAGTTTATTGAATCCGTTTGTTAACGGTTTGAATTCTTACTGTGAATCTCACTCATTTTTTGCAGTTAACACTGTCAAATTGCTTTTTGGTTCTGTTTTCTATATTTGTTATCTAAGTTTTGCAAATCTTCTACATTTACTTTATTAATCTGAGTTTTTAAGATTTTTGACGGTGTTGTTTTTCAACCTACAAGCTAAAAGATATTTCAAAAAAACATAAATATTAACGTTTTATTTAATTTTTGATCCAGGGTAAATAAAATGGTATACGAGATTGATCGAAGAGAGCAACAAATTCTAGGAGGAGTGTTGGTAAAAAATTTAAGGGAACTGGTTAAGGCTCAACACGATGAACGAAATCGAGGGACATTAGTGAGATATTATGACACTGCCCCGGGACCCGGTACAAAGAGAGTAGCGAAAATAGAACAAACAAGAATGGGTTAGCGTGTTTATGGTAGGGGTGCAAACAAAAACAAGTTGGTGGTCCATACCACATATCCACCTGCAAATTGTAGTAATCTACCAAAAGAAAAGGTTTTGTTGGATAAAAAACCTTGGCAACATTTTTTGGGGTTTTTCAGTGGGATTTACAACTTTAGTGGCTGGAAAATACTTGGAGTTTTGTTGCTCTTGCTTGCCTCTGCTGCTCATATGCTTTTACAATCACTGTGATGCCTTAATTGATCTTTGGTTCACAATCTCAATGCATGCATGCAATTAACTTTGGGGTAGTCTCCATCCCCACTATACTTTCACTAATGTGTGACCCTTGCACAGCTTATTCATCTTCAGTGATATCCATCTAAATGATCTATATGTCTTTCTGTCCATGCTATTCATGTATACCCTGCATTACGATAATTCTAATGCATTTTCTACATTGCTCAGAAAGTTGATATTAGTAGTCATGGTTGTTTAACACAAGAATATCCTTCTCTTGCACAGGTTCAAAATTGATGTTATTGTGGAAGATAAGACGAATCAACACAATTTCCTCATAATAGGAAGACATGCAGAAAAAATACTTCATGTTTCTTGCCACACTTTGGTGATGCAAGAAGGATATGAGGATCCTTTTGTGGCGCCACCAATTCTTACAAATTTGGTGGGCCAATCAAAGACATTTCAAGTCTCTTTTGGAAATCAGAACATCAACTTCGGAAAGACAGATTTCATCGTTCACGGATTGCTTGAAGATAAACCACTGTCCAAGCCAGCAAACCCCTCAATCAAACCACAAACACCCGCTCCCACCGCAGCAAAAACAATTATCAACCAAGTCACTCCAGCCCCATTGACGCCTTCCCAACCATTGGATAACAACCCCGATCAATTGCAGCCGCTAAGACTTCAAAAACAACGTTGTTCCTTGATCAACCAAACACATCTGCCAGGTAAACTTTTCCTTCCGACTAATGCTCTCATCTGTCAATCTTATTAATCGTACTTCCGTCTCTTGGTTATATGTTTGCAATCATGAAAAGGTGTCCACCGCTCTTTTGCACTCTTTTCCATAACCATCACGATTATCTTTACCCTTATCAATTTTGCCTTCATTCGCAACAAAAAACCTCGCACCGAGCAAACAACCACAACAAATGCTGCCATAATTGTTGCAAAATTCCACAATCTGGTTGTCCCCAAGATCGAACCTGCCGACAAAGTTCCAATTGCCACCCTAAGAACAAAAATTGAGCCCAAAAAAACCAAACATAGGTAAATTACAATTTATTTTTTGCACGCATGCTTGAATAACGTTCATAATGGCTGTCTTTGTTACATTATGATTTATGTTTTTTGCTATAGTGTGGAAAATGTCCGATCTCAGAAAAAGTGAACAGCCATGCTCTCTGTGATCGAATGATGCACACCATGCTGCATATTTTTTTGTTTTAACATCTATGGTTGACGACTTACTTGCTCAAACACAACTTTTCCTATGTTTTGCTAACTGCTAAGTGAGGTATGTAGGTTGTAGAGCGTATATTTTGCCGTCTTAACTGCAGGCTCAAAATATGTGAAAACTGCAGCTTGATTCTGTTTCTTCAGTTTCTTATGAATCTGTTTTTTTGCCTTTAAATAGTTGTCGTTCCAAAATTAGCTACTTGAACAAGTCTTCAACACTTTCTATTTTATATTTCCTGTTGAACAACCTGCCTACACTGCAGGACACATGTTATATTTGTGAACTAAATGTTTCTTCTGTTAAGGAAACAGAAATTTTTTGGAAACCATCTCTTTCTAATCAAACACGTACAGTTTCTTACCACTCATTGTGCAATGTGTTTATATGCGTTTGAAACAATTGGTTCCCGCAGCAACGTGCGGGCGTAATTTCTAGTATATACTAAAACCCAGTTTCCCTAACACTGTTCATTAACTGTGAACTCCCCAGAATGCCCCAAAATTGCTCTTGGTTGTCCGGGTTTTCCACTTTTTGGCCACTGAAATGGCGACATTGCCCTTGGTGGCCACGCGTCTATCATCGCTGATCCTTCTCCTTAGATTTCTTCGTTGCTTTTTCTTTCCGTTCGCTTCTCTCTCTCCATCCTTAGCTTCTGCAAATTGTCTAACGTTTTTTCTCTTCCACGCTGGTGTTGTTCTTGGTGTCCACCCTTTGCAAGTTTCTCTGTCCGATTATTCACCTTCGTTTTTCTTCTGGAAAATTGCTCGTTCATGAACGGTGGAGGGGCTACTGATTTCTGCCTTTTTCAATTCGATTGAAATCTATTTTTTGCTTGCGTAGTCTTAATGTGTTTGGGTGATTTTTGCATTTTTTTAGCGTACGTGATTTCGTTTTTTAGGTGGTTCTCAATTGGATTCCACAGTAAAACCCAGAAACTTAGAGGTATGAAAATTTCAATTTTTTTGGATTCTTAATTTATTTTCAGTGTTAATTTCTGATTTATTTTCAGTATTAATTGCTGAATAAATTATTATTTTTGATAAACCCACTTAGAATCTGATCTGGGTTTTGCTTCGATTCCATAGTAAAAACCTTGAAACTTAAAGGCATGAGGCACCTCCACGCCTCCCAATCTGCCGACGTTAGAGCGCTCACCACATGTTCGTCATTAATCCTCAAACAGTCGAACCCACTTCTCTCCGTCTCCGTATGCGTTTGCACTGTCGCACAATCTGTATGTCGTTAGAAACTACTTGAGCAGCTGCGATCTCAGGTAATTTACTCTTTTGTGTGTATTGGGTTGGTGAGTTATTGATAAAATCTGAAATGACTTAGATTTGATTTGGGTTTTGCATGTTTGTAGTTTTTAAAATTATGGTTTGTTTTTTGGACTGGAATTTGGATTATACATGATATAAAAAAATTTCATATATATATGATTTGAGTTTAATTCAGGAAAATTATTATCTATGTTGTATATTTCCAAACTCAGTTATTGGTTGAATATACTCATTGGTTGAAGCCTGAAAGTAAAAGACTGCTCCAAGGCAAGGGAGAAGTGTCGCTTCTTCAGTATTGGGAAGCTTTCTTGAAATAATGGTATCAATGACCCTGAGTTGGTCTGTTTTGGTTTTGGTTATTTTTTTTCAATTGGTTTGGGATTTTTTATGTTTGGAGTTTTTTGTAGTAATATTGTTTTCAATTCATCTGGAATTCAGTTTATGTTATGGGTTGCCATGTTTCTGCATTTAATTTGGTGTTTGGATGTTTATGTTATAGTTGTCATCGATTTTCTTAAAGAATTAATCCAAGTGATGATGCCATTTTTGATATATGTTTAAATGTTAACACTTTACAGATTTTCAGTTTCTAAACAATGAGATGATGCGAGTGTTCAAAGTGCTTTTATCATTAAGGTGAGTGATTTTTGTTTTTAGCTTTTAGCCTTTTGTGATTAAGAAAGTTTAGTCATTTGTTTACCGACTTATTAATTGGTGAGAAGATGAAACATTTTGCTGCTGGTTGCTAACAAAGTAATACAATCTCACAAAAGAGTTTTCGTTTTTTTTCTTTGTTTGCTTGAATTATGTATTTGTTTTTATAAAAAAATTCGTATATAGTTTTGGAAATTTTTATTTGGTTAGAGAAAGGGGAAGAATATAGGAAGAGGAGAATTACATGCTTTAATAAAAATGCTGCATTCTTATTTGTGTAATTGGATACAGGGTTGAAAAAGGAGTTGAGTGCTGTTGTTTGTGTCTTCATAGTTTCGTCAAGATTTGAAAAACAGTGAAAAGATATTAAACTTATGGATGGAAGTAAAGCAAACAAAATTTTAACAAAAAATGCGACTGGGATGAGAGAGTTTTGTAAGAGTTCATTATGGTAAAATATTGTTGTGCATGACAGTATTAAATAATCAGTTTGATAAATTAAAATGGTGTGATTAAATAAGATTATCTGTTGGGTGTACCTATATATGCTTAATAAATTGTTAATAAGTTTTCAATTTCATGTTATTATTTGCTCCGATGATTTTGTTTCGCTTTTGTATGTTTAAAATTGTCATGCTCTATGTATTTGAGAATTTTTTTTTTTAATTTAAATTTTATTTCTGTGAATGGTCCAGTAAATTTCTGGTTCCCTAATCATTTGACTTAATTTTATTTCCACTTCTAAAAGTTTTTCCTGTAATTTTCTGTCATAAAAGGATTGTTTTGTTGCAAAAAGCAAGGCCAATTTGTTTAGGGCTTGAAGATTTCTACATTCACCAGGTTTATCTTCGACTCCAGGTACTTTGTTCCATTAACAACTTAAAGTCAGTTGCAACCACAGAGTTTGGTTATGATTGGGTAAAATAAGCTGATTATCTGCCTATTTCATGAGGATATCAATGGGGACTATCTACCCAATCTTTTGTGTGTAAATAGTATGTAAATACACATCAAATATTATCTTTTGTATGTAAATTTGTAAAAGATGTGAATATTAGAACGATGGCAATAGAACTGCCAATTCATATTGTTGTAAATAGATTTCTGTATGTATATAAATAGTATTGCATATTGTGTGTTTAAAATTTTCTGCATGTTTTATATAGTTTTAAAATCCGCAGCATCGTGCGGGCACTATTGCTACTCATTTCCTAGGCTTGAAGAATTTCAAAGTTGAGCAAAAGTACAAGTTGCTCCTTTAGACAAAGATTTAGGATTTGAGCCTGCTCCTGGAAATTCTTCTGGTTTTTTACCCAGTTAAATAGGGGCTTTCGGGCACAAACTTGTGTGTGAATTTTGTTTTTATGGACCCTTATTTATTGTTGAGTGAACGAACTTCATGTATGATTGTTTGAACCTTGGATTGCATCTACTACATATTAGATAACTCAGATATTTCATATGTGAGTTGCTGTGTTTTTGCTTGACTAGCATCTTTGGCAGTTAAAACTGTTTCTAATATCTATCTGTTGTTAAATTTGGGTTTACTTTCCATAGAATTATGAATTCTTGTTCTATTATTCCATACGTAGCAAACGATTCTGCCCGGTACCAGTTTCACTTCATCTTACAGTACCTTTTATGGAACTAATACACCATATTACAAAAGGAAGACATAACATTAAAAAGGAGTACAAAGAAATAATATAAAACAAGCAAAAAACAACACCAAATGCATAACCTTATAGCGGACTTATGAATTTCCTATCATCAGCTTGATGGTTTTAACAATCTCAACAAACCATTCACGCTTCCTTGTGATCACCACATCAGAAAGAACAACTCCCACCACCAACCCACTTCCGAGACCAGCCAAAACAAATTTCCAATCAAATTCAAACGAGCCTGAATCATTTTCTTCGGTTTTTGAAGGCGACAGGCGAGGAGCCTTAGGATCTCCGCATTTCTTTGGCAAAGGATCTCCACACAATCCAGGGTTTCCTTCATATGAACTGCTACCCATTGAAATAAGTTGGGTTCCATGCGGTATTGGACCTGTCAAGCTGTTGTTAGAGACAATGAATGTTTCAAGGAATGTAAGCTGCGCGAGGCTTTGAGGGATTTGTCCTGAAAGCTTGTTTTGTGAAAGGTCCAGTGATTCAAGCCACGTTAAATTCCCGAAAGATGATGGGATGGAACCAGTTAGGAGGTTACCAGATATATTGAATGACATCAGCCCCTTTAGGTTCCCAATAAATTCAGGAATCCTCCCTTCAAATTTGTTGCTTGAGATGTCAATCGCTACAAGGGCTTCTAGAATCTTCGGATAATATCTCTCCACACCTTTGCTAGTTATCGTGATTGAGTAATATTCCTCAAATGATTTACCAACACCATGATTAGAAAAGATACTTGAATCTACCTTCATATATGTTGACTGGTCTCGAGTGACACCCCTCATGACATTCCCGGAAAAGATATTTTGACATGGAAATTTGCCTCTGAAACTATTAAAAGATAGATCCAGAATTCGTAACTCAGGGAAATATTCAACATTGTCCTGATGAGGTTTCTCCATCAGACCGTAGAACGCGTTCCGGTGCATTTTCAAAACTTTTAACTCCGGAAGAGCTCCTAACCAAAAGGGAAAAACATCGCTGAATTTATTGTATGACAGATCAATAAACTCAAGTGTCGTGCAGTTCCCCAACGACCTTGGTAGTTGCCCTCGCAATTGGTTATGACTAACATCAATCACCGTCAGACTGCTTGTGCTGGTGTATATTTCAGGAAGAAAGCCGCTGAAAGAGTTGTTTCCAAGATATAAACCTAGCAGATCATCGCTGAAGTTTCCGAGACAGGGGGGAAGCATTCCACTCATATTGTTGTTGGAGAGGTCAAGGAACTGAAGAGAAGTCAGACTGCAGATCAATGGTGAAATTGCTCCATGTAGATTGTTATTCTTGAGCACTAAAACTTGTAGGTTAACCCAAGGAAAGGCATCTGAAGGCTGGACAATGCTTGAAAGGAAGTTGTCAGAAATGTCCATCTCCGCCAAAGTCTCTGTGCTTGTGTTCAACATCCATTTTGGTACTTCATGCAAATTGTTGGAGGAAAGGTCCAAGAACACCAATGTTTCTTGATACTGCAGGAAACTTGGGAACTCTCTTATGTTGCACGAACTCAATCCCAGAAATTCTAACTTTGGAAGTAGGCTTGCATTCGTACTTTCTGTTTCTGTGAAAATTTTCAGATTGGTACGAGATAATTGTAAATCGGTGAGCCCTTGTAACTTATGAAACACCATGCGGAACTCCACTGTACCAGTCAGATTATTATCAGATGCATCAAATAACTCGAGATTGATGAGATTGGATAAGGAATTAGGTAATGGACCGGTTAACTGATTCGAAGACAGATTAAGTTCTATGAGGTGGGTGAGATTTTCTAGAGAAGGAATTGGACCGGTTAACTGATTGGAAGACAGATCAAGTATTATGAGGTGGATGAGATTTTCTAAAGAAGGAATTGGACCGGTTAACTGATTCGAAAACAGATAAAGGTATGTGAGGTGGGTGAGGTTTCCTAGAGAAGGAATTGGACCGGTTAACTGATTCGAAAACAGATAAAGGTATGTGAGGTGGGTGAGATTTCCTAGAGAAGGAATTGAACCGGTTAACTGATTCGAACACAGATAAAGGTATGTGAGGTGGGTGAGATTTTCTAGAGAAGGAATTGAACCGGTTAACTGATTCTCATATAGAATAAGGTCTGTGAGGTGGGTGAGATTTCCTAGAGAAGGAATTGAACCTGTTAACTGATTCGAATACAGATAAAGTACTGTGAGGTGGGTGAGATTTCCTAGTGAAGCCGGGATGTAACCGCTAAAATGATTAGCGAAAAGTGACAGGACTTCGAGCTTGTTGAGACTACCGAGAGCAGAGGGAATGGAGCCACTAAAATCATTCATTCCAAGATGGAGCTCCTTCAGTTGGGTGAGGTTTGCCAATGAACTAGGGACTGGACCGTTAAAGTAATTTTCTGAAAGGTCTAAATGTATGAGCTGCCTAAGATTACCAAGTGAAGATGGAACCAAACCCGAGAAGTCGCAGTATGCCAAATCCAGCGTGTTTAATAAATCAAGCTTTTCGATTGAAGAAGGCAAATTTCCGAATAAGCTAGTGGAGCTAGGATACGGTGAAGTGAGAGTCCTGCAAGACAAATCAAGGGACGACAAGTTGGCCAGCTGTGAAATTTGGGAAGGGATTTGGCCAGAAAAGGAAGAACCAGAGAGATTAAGATGCATGAGCCCAGGGAAATTCCCAATGCTAGTAGGAATTCGAGAGGAGTTGAAGTTGTTGTCAGCGAGGTTCAGCACTTGAAGCTGAACAAGCCGGAAAAGGCTGCTGTTGGAGTTGATAGAGCCCAGGAGACAGCTGCTACTAAGATCAAGGCCAATAACATGACCCGTCCTCTCATCACACACAATGCCATCCCATGCACAGCAGCTGACGTTTCGTCCCTCAGCTAGTTTCCATTGCAAAATCTTTGGATAAGCATCATCAGAATACGAGGCAGATCTGTTAATGATGAAGCTTTCCTTGAACTGCAGCAAGGCAGACCTCTCCTCGTCATGACAAGATTGCTGCAATGAGGAAACTGATGAGCTAACAACCACGAGATGAAGCAACACAACTTTTGAAAGTGTATAACACATATTGGAAACAAACAAGCACCGGCGGAATCCCATTGTGTTTTGTTCTGCACTCTTCGATATTAGCATGAGAGTGAGGTTGTGAGAGAGGTTTTTTTATAGACCGGTCGTAGGGGTTCCGCAAGTTAGTGTGTAAAACTTTTCTAATATCCCATCCAAGTTTCCCATCAAAATGGCCCTATACAGCATGTCAGCAAAAAGTAAATACAAAATAAATCAGCAACCCCTTTTTCCTTTTATTCAAATAAATAACTCAATTTCTAGTAGATTCGAATTTGATGGCTAGTTCGAGGCAAATAATAGAACCACTTGCCCAAGCGTTTGTGGCACGGTCAGCATTTATTTTTATTTTTTTATTCTTTTAAATAACCGCTCATTATCATGTGAAAGGGTTACGTGCTGTAGTGATACATCCTCATGTGAAAGTGGCACGCACAATTCTTGTTAAACTTCTCCTACACAAGAAGCAAAATTGACCATAAATGTAAACATAAATATTTAAATTTTCACCGGATGAACTAACTTAAAGATTTAAATTTTTATAAATGAAGAAATATACAATATTTTTCAGCCTAAGAAAGTTTTCATAGGGCATGCTAGAAATTTTCCATTATTAAACAAATACATGCTAATATTGTAATTTGATTATGCTCTCCTTGTTCATGTGATCCTGCAAGGTGCAAGTGAAAACCATCCTCTTAGTGAATTAGTACAGGCTTGTCGTGAGCTGTTAGAGAGAGATTGAAATTGTGAACTCTGTCATGTTTATCATGAATTGAATTTTGTGGTTGATGAACAGACTAATTAACTTGAGTTTGTCGTATTTTCTTGGTCCAGTTTATTCGAACAAGCTCCTGCCTCTTGTCGACATATCTTAGTGTCGGACGCTGCTGGAATATCTAGACTTTGTGATGGTTTGCTTTAGTTTTCTCTTATGGGCATTTAACCTCGTTTGCTTTAGTTATATCTTTAATAACATTAGTCACCTAAACAATGTTGTAACATTAGTCACCCGAGTGTTGTAGAAACAGACGAATATGTTTCAAATTATTGGTGCTAAAATCAGACAGTCCATATATCATCCCAATATTTGTCCCGAATGTTTCTTTCGCTCAATGCCAAGAGAAGTGATGATTACATGCCTATCATTCAGTTAGAAGTTAGTACAACTCTGCCTGCGAGAAATCTAAACATTGAGTTAGAAGCTATTGCTGAATTAGAGTAACAATGATAGTTTCTTATAAAAAGAAATAATCCTGTTATGAAAAGTGTACAATTAAAATTTTAAAGTGCGAATAATAATTTTTTATTAAAAAAAAAAAGAAAAAAAAAAAGAATTTTCTTCAAAGTAGGACTTCCCTAACTTTCCATGAGCTTTCGCTTCAACGTGTTTATTAGTTCAACGATTCAAGAAGTCCAAGTGAAGTGGACTCTACCATTGACCTGCAAGAGGTGCTACCATCACTATCCCATCCAAGTTTCCCATCAAAATGACCCCTTATAGTATGCATGTCAATAAAAAAGACTAGGATTCTCTTCTCATCCCTTTTCATCTCATCCTCTCACATTCTTTTATTTTGTCTTTTTTTTGTTATAAAAAATTAATATAAAATGTTGATGTGACCGTTCAAATAGAAAGAGAGGGAAAGAGAGAGAGAAAAAAAAAAAAAAGGAATCCTACTCCAACAAAATATAAATACAAAATAAACCCCCTCTTCTTTTTAGTCAAATAAATAACTCAATTTCTAGTAGACTCGAATTTGATGGCTAGTTCAAGGCAAATAATAGAACCACTTGCCTAAGCGTATGCGGCACGGTCAGCACTTTTTTTTTATTTTTAATTTTTTTAATTTTTTTTAATAACCTGTCATTATCACACGACATTCATATTTAATAATACATTATCATATGAAGAATGCTTTACACATAATAATGCAGTATTGGACAAGAAATGTCACGTGATGGTGAACAAGGACGAAGCCTTTACCGAGTGTGCTAGCTTAAAGATTTAAATTTTTATAAATGAAGAAACATACAATATTTTTTTCACATTATCAGCTAACCTAAGAAAATTTCCACATAGTGAGCCAAAAATTTTCATTATTAAACAAATACATGTAAATTGGAATCTAATTTTGTTCTCATTGGCCATATAGTTCTCCAAGGTGTGAGTGAGAACTATCCTCTTGGTGAATTGGAGGCTTGCCATGAGCTGTTAAACAAAGATTGGAATTGTGAACTTGGTCATATTTACGATGAGATGCATTTTGTGGTTGAGGAATTAGCTAACTTGAATTCTCTTGGTCTAGTTTATTTCGCTCAAACTCCTACCTCTTGCCATCTCTTGGTGTCAGATGTTGCTAAAATCTTTATACCTTGTGATGTTTTGCTTTAGTTTCTCTTTGTTAGGTGTTAGCCCCATTTGTTTACCAAGAAAAATACGTATTAAAATTTAAACGACGCCAAACTTGAAACAAACATGTCCGAGAAGTGATTAGAAAAAGAGATGGCTTATGAATTGTAAGATGAGAATTGTTATTAGCACTCAAAAATCTCATTCTACACTCCCCACATATGTATTTTTCTTTCTAATTATAGAAAGTTTGGAGTTCAAAATAAGATTTTTAAAGTGGTAATAAGAATTACATTGTAAGATATAATCTTATATAATTAAACTAAGATAATTAGACTTAGTGGCTAAGTATATAGTACACTACATTAAAAAATTAATGAAAAATATATGTAAAATTTTCTTTTTTCACCAAAAGTTAATTTGTATATTGCACTAATTTGAATATTGGTACAAATGATAGGAAAGGGATCCTCTCTGGATCCCTTCCTTGTAATCCACTAAATTAAGGAATTCATATCGTTGAAAATTGATTTAATGGCCGAAGTTATTATAACTTTTAAAATAGACCCTTATTTGTAGTCGTTTGAACAAATTTCAACAGTACGAGTCTTCTGATTTGGTGGATTAAAAAGAAGGGATTCGAAAATGATTCCTTTCCCACAAGGTAAGATCTTATACAAAACCTATGTGCTATTCTAAGTAAATAGAACCTATAATAAAGCTAATTACATTTACATCTCACAATCACTTTATCCCAAAAATTGATAATTTCAGAAGCTACAATCACTCTCAATCAAATTGTGTGATTTCTTTTCCTTCAACATTTAGCCCGTGGTAGCTTTTAATGTGGCTATAGACAGTACAAATGGTTGATACGTAATTCTGCCAGACTGGAAACACCAAAGCTGGTTAAAACCTGAAATTATGAAGTGAAGGGCCTCCATAGATTGCTGACACTTGGAGCATGGGGTGGCGCGCCTCCATACATGGCTAACACTTGGAACATGGAGTGAAGGTCCTCCATAGCTGGTTGTCCTGGAACTTAGGGTGTGAATGACCTCCATAGTTAGCTGACACCTAAAACATGGTGTGAAAGGTCTCCATAGTTGGCCGCCAGAACATACGAAGTGGGATTCTCTCTCTTCTCATTCATATTCTCTTCTTTCCTCTTTTCTCATATGCTTACTTTTTATCTTATTATTTATTAAAAAATTATAAAATATTAACGTGATTTAACGATAATGTTTATGTACGGTGGACAACCTTAAATATTATTATCATTTATCGTGACAGCCGTAAAAGAAAAAATAGGACAAAGGAACCTAGGAAGAGCCACCACTTTGACAACTCAGGGTGGAAAGTAGCTAGAAAAATGGGTTTCGCACAGACTTTTCGCACAAACCGTATGCATGTTATTAATATGGACATGAAAGCCACACAAAAAGAACTTGTGAAAATGAGACTCTATTAGTCAGTCAACACCAACTCATGACACTCATGAGCCAAGTCGCACAATTAAAGTGACCGTGTTACATAAGGTAAATATTGTACAATTATTCAATTTTTTTGCAATTTTTTTATATTTTTGGGTGGAAATAATCCAATATCAGTTCACATTCAATTACATCTTTGCCATCTAGAGTAATGATTTGTCCAAGAACACCATCATTGATTGGTGGTCGGGTTCCATATTGACTATCGTGAGGTCTTTCTTGTAGTCAATATATTCATAAGTTTTTTCTCAATTTATTCTTTAATGAATTGTTGAGAATGAAAAAATGTTCAAGTAAATAACTCAATTTATTCAAATAAATAACTCAATTTCTAGTAGACTCGAATTTGATGGCTAGTTCGAGGCAAATAATAGAACCACTTGCCCAAGCGTTTGCGACATGGTCAACACTTTTTTTTTTTTAATTTTTTTTTAATAACCGGTCATTATCATGTGAAAGGGTTACGTGTTGTAGTGATACATCCTCATGTGAAAGTGGCACGTACTATCCCTGTTAAACTTCTCCTACACAAGAAGCAAATAGCCTAATTGACCATAAATGTAAACATAAATATTTAAATTTTCACCGGATGAACTAACTTAAAGATTTAAATTTTTATAAACGAAGAAATATACAATATTTTTCAGCCTAAGAAAGTTTTCACAGGGCATGCTAGAAATTTTCCATTATTAAACAAATACATGCTAAAATTGTAATTTGATTATGCTCTCCTTGTTCATGTGATTCTGCAAGGTGCGAGTGAAAACCATCCTCTTGGTGAATTAGTACAGGCTTGTCGTGAGCTGTTAGAGAGAGATTGAAATTGTGAACTCTGTCATGTTTATCATGAATTGAATTTTGTGGTTGATGAACAAACTAATTAACTTGAGTTTGTCGTATTTTCTTGGTCCAGTTTCTTCGAACAAGCTCTTGCCTCTTGTCGACATATCTTAGGGTCGGACACTGCTGGAATATCTAGACTTTGTGATGGTTTGCTTTAGTTTTCTCTTATGGGTGTTTAACCTCGTTTGCTTGCCAAAAAACAAATACATGCTAAAATTTAAACAAGGCCAAACTTGATGCAAATATGTACACGAAGCGATGAGAAAAAGGGTGTAAGAAATAGAGATGATTAATGAATTGTAATATATAATCTTATATATAATTAAACTAAATAATTAGGCTTAGTGGCCAAGTATATATTGTGCGCTACATTTGAAAATTAATGAAAAATACATGCAAATTTTTTTTTTTTATTTTATTAAAAGCTACCTAGGCTTTAAGCCATGGTACTCTTTACGTGGCTTTGCAAATGGCAGTGAACTCGTTCCATATAAGT